TTTAGGGTTTAGGGTCAAAAAGGACATCGTACGAAATTTTTGAGATCAAAGGGGACCTCGTGTCAAAATTTCCATAATGCCACCTCGTGCAGAGCTATGGATGTTATTTTGCTGTCACCTTCAACGGGCAGACTTGTATCTAGAGGCAGTCTTCCCGTGTTAAATGGTACCACGATTTCGTCCAGAAAAAAGCTTATAACTCGCTTCGAAATAATGCGCCGCAGCTAAGAACACCATACTTGGATCAGCGTTTTTAGTGATTCCGTATACAAGTCATCCTGAGGGACCACTCTAAGTTAGGCGCCTTCCCCTTTTGAGGTCTAGCCGTGAGAAACAGTAGCGGACAATGGAGCCCTACGAAGTCTTGAAATCTACCGCATAGTGAACAAAGCAACAACTAATACACAGTCCAAACTTCGGATTCGTGGATGGGAAGACTGGGCGCTCATCCTAGCTTATATGTAACACCCTGTCTTTGCTAAATGTGGGGAAGTTGGACCGCGATAAATGAATTGACATCGCTAGAGACGTTGTGAAAGCAATAACAACAGCTTTATACGAAAAAGTGAACACCAAATGAATTCGCGCGTTCAAAGTTGAACGAGTATGAAGGAGAAAACATTCAAGAAGACTGAAAATCAAGCGCAAGAAACGTGCGAACTAGCTGAGCCTTTCTTCAAGGCGAAATGAATCAGCGAGCAAAATCCATGTCAAGATTAATAAAGGAAATGTTGTTATAACCATCATGGGACTCACTTATCAACAACGGATCCTCAATCGACAACAGCGCTGCTTTCTTATCACCATCTCGACGCGCTTCCTTCGGTGTATACCGCATGTCAATGACCGAAATACCAACGGCATCGTAGTTCACCTCCTGAGATGAAAATGGATGAATCTAAGAAAGATGTTGAACATAGGCCTTCCTCATACAATATAAGAGGTATGCCAAGAAGATGTGCACCCTAGAATCGTTAAAATCTCTCTTGGCAGCTGCGCCGTACGCAATAATAAAGATGTGGTATGAATTTGGACGGTATGCATGCTTAGAATCAAGAATCTGCTTCAAAATTTACAAAGTCTCCCAATCATAAGCGAAAATTTGAGCCCTTACCCTACCTTACCTTACCCTCCTATCGAATAAAACTTGTCACGATAAATGTTACATGCAAGGCTGTACTTTTGCAAGAATTTTCGCACTTTTAGTAGACAGCCACATTGCACATAATGACTTTATCTAAACACTGGCTAGCATGACATTTTCGAACACACTTGTTGTAGGCGGAAAAGATCATTTATGAGGTACGAATATAGTGGATTTGTACTTTCGGATAATAATGAGATTGTTGAAAACACGAGTAATTTTGAGAATGACATCATGTAGATTTTTTAGCAACACAAGAAATATCATATGCTTATGAATTTTGATGATTGAAAGCTGGACCGCTTTTCTACAAGGCGGAAGGCGGTTTAGCATAGAAAAGTAACCAGACGATTTTCCTCTCCATATTTACCAGAAAAACGAAGAAACCCATAAAAAAGATATACTCGTGGTCAAACATCTAACCTTATAAACAGTGATAATAACAAGAAGCAGAAAGCATAAGAAATTCAGTGACGTGAAATAGAAGTAGGTAAAGGTTAAGTGTGATAACCGTACCTGAGCATAAACCTCGAAAAACCGCATAAGTAGCTCGCCAAGATTGACTTCAGGACTGTAAGGGTGTTTTCGTCGTACGGGCAT